CTCTCCTGTTCAGTGGAGTGAGGCCACAGCTGGAGCTCAAAGCTTTAAGGAAGCCCATTAAATTAGTGCTGTAATTTACCAATAACTTCATAAATGTGTCACTAAGGAGGTCCAACTAAAAGTTAATTGAAGGGGAATTTGAAGGGAACATTAGGGGAACGTGAGTGGAATACAAGGTGAATGTAAGGGTAACGCTTGGGCTACATGAAGGGAAGGTGAAGGGAACATGGGGGGAACATGTAGGAAATGTGAGGGTAACATGAGGGGAACACAAGGGATATATGAGAGGAACATGTAGGAAATGTGAGGGTAATATGAGGGGAACACAAGGGATATATGAGGGGAACATGTAGGAAATGTGAAGGTAACATGAGGGGAACACAAGGAATATATGAGGGGAACATGTAGGAAATGTGAGAGTAACATGAGGGGAACGCGACGGGAACGTGGAGGACTTTCGAAGGTAACATAAGGCAAGCATGAAGGGAACGTGAGGGGAATGTAAAGGAAATCTGAGGAGGACATGAGGGTATCATTAGGGGAACATGTGTAACGATCTGAGTACGGACCCAAAAACACCCAGAGACGGCACGGTCAGTTAACAGAGTTTATGTAGAGCGGGGCAGTTCGGAGGGCGTGGTCAGACAAGTCCAGGTTCGGTAACGTGTAATCCAGACAGCGAAGGTGTTACGTCTGGTGTCTCGTCTCGTCTTGATTACCTATTGTGTACACCTGGGGTTTCCTCCCTCTTGTGTTTAAATAGTCCAGTCCGGTTCCACGCCATTCTGTCAGGAAGGTGGGTGTTGAAGGGAGGACTCAGGTGCGGAGATGAGGGAAGACAAGGTTTGTTGTAACAAAAACCCATGGAGTGAATGTCCAGACAAAGTACAAATCAAAGCTGTGGAAAACTGTGAGCAAAGTAACAAAGCAATAAGCAGACAAGACTGAGGCAAAACTATGACAAAGTAACAAAATAAAGAATGACAAAACTGTGGCAAAACTGTGACTATGACTAAAACAAAAGACTATGGCAAAACAAACCTGGCGTGGGGGTGACGATGGACAAGACGGACGAAAGGACAAGAACGCACTCGCACAAGACAAGGGGAAACGAGGACTATTTAAACACATGAGGAGGGGAACCCCAGGTGTACACAATGGGTAATCATGACGTGACGAGACACCAGACGTGACAGAAGGTACCAGGGGTACTCACCGGTTGGCTCGAGACGCTCTGGTTCTGGAGACTGGCTGGGGCGGAGCTTAAGTGCAGGTGGAGACAGGTGGAAGCGATGAGAGCTGATTGCGGGGTGTGGATACTGAGCAGGTGTGCAGACGAGGGGTGGAGCCAGCTCCAGTGCCAGGAACGTAACAGCATGAGGGCAACGTTAGGGTAACGTGAGGGGAACATTAGGGGAACGTGAGGGGAACGTTAGGGGAATGTGAAGGGAACATTAGGGGAATGTGAGGGTAATGGGAGGGGAACGTTAGGGGAATGTGAAGGGAACGTGAGGGGGACATTAGGGGAACATAAGGGGGAATTGGAAAGGAACATTATGGGAACATTAGGGGAACATAAGGGGGAATGGGAAAGGAACATTGGGGGAACATTAGGAGAACATGAGGGTTAGGGTTAAACAAGAAAAACACATACGTCCAGATAACTATCCTCTAACCCAGGGGTGCTCAATAAGTCGATCGCGATCTACCAGTCGATCTCATGGGTGCTATCGGTAGATCACATGACAAGGTGAGGTGACATTGTCATGAACTGACACTATACAAATAAAGTTGAGTTGTTTTGAATAAAAACTAGACGTCAGCCTTCAGACATCCCGTCACTTGATTGATACCCAGGACAACCAGTCAGATGACATCTGATTTTTTTCCCTAAAAATTAGGTCACTGTGCGCAGCTAAGCTAACAAGCTAGTCGTTCGTTACATCCTAATTTTCGCTCGTTTTTTTCCTCTTAAACGTAAGATAGGTTATGAAAATGAGTGGGGGAGCTGGACCTAGTAATATGTAACCAAGTAAAATGTACATAATTATGTTGTGTTGTGCAACATATGTGGTTATACATCAACATAAGTTGTAAGAATCCTCAATGTATTTCTCAATAAATAAAATGGGTAGATCATTTTGACTTGGTCATTTCAAAAGTAGCTCCCACGCTGATAAAGTGTGAGTACCCCTGCTCTAAGGCAAAAGCCTTGGAAACTTCCACAATAAGAGCTGAAACGGTCTCTCCACAGAAGGTGCCTTCCTGACCGGTTCAGGAGGCTGAGCATGCGGAGGAAAATCAGGAGCCTCCACTGGGACGCAGCTCCTCTGAACCAGGTTGAAGTTCTAGCCTCAAACGACAGCCCGTTCCTCCCTTTCAGACATGGAAGAACACCCTGGACAGATACCCCGACACGCTGCTGGGCTCCTCGGAGAAGGAGTTCTTCTACAACGAGGACACTCAGGAGTACTTCTTCGACAGAGACCCCGAGATGTTCCGCCACATCCTGAACTTTTACCGCACCGGCAAGCTGCACTACCCCCGCAACGAGTGCGTCCAGGCCTTCGACGAGGAGCTGGCCTTCTACGGCATCGTGCCCGAGATCATCGGGGACTGCTGCATGGAGGTAGAACC